ACTTTTTTACAAGTAATTTAAATCCTTTTAGCAGTATTTTAACAGCTAGCTACAAACTTGTAGAGCTTGTAGACAGTGTGACTGACAGTGATTTTAGAACGCCATAAACTATGATCATGATGTAGATGCATGATCACAGAAACGATATTTCAGTTGACTATTTTTTGTTTTTTTTTCGTTCTTTCAGTCTCTTACAGTTGTTGAGATCAGGAAGGCTACTCGACTTTATCTGTATAGCCTTTTCGCTCGTTACAAAAATTGTTACAAATTCAGTCGACTAAAATATAACGACTAAATGTGACCTAGGTACCCAATTTAAGAACCTTTCGGCCCCAGAATTGTCCGAGGCCGGTAAAACGGAAAATAAATAAATAAATTGCCCATCAGATGTCTAAAAAATGGTTCAAAATTGGACTTAATGCATTTTATATATATTTACATAACCTCAAATTGAAAACTTAACGTACGAATCATCACTTTCGGATGATGTAACAAAATAAAATAATCATTTATATAGTTCTAAATTTATTTCTCTCAATAATATTTAATGAAAGATGATAGCAGAATTTCAAGGCTAAACTTCAAGTTTCATTTTTGTTTATAAAGATTATATATGTGCTTCGAATAAATTTTGAATTAAGCATAAATTCATGCATGTTTTACGGATACTGGATCTACATACTTTTTCAAGCGTATATTATACATATGAACATCATAATTTGTATCAATTAGAAGCGAACATGCGGAGCTCCATACAAATTATTACGGTCATGCACAAATATATAGCTGCTCTTTTAAATTTTTTGTATAATACTGTACGACACATAATTTTGTTTGCAATATGTAATACGTGATCCTTATAAAGTTTCTCATGCCAGAAATAAATCCGGAAGCAGAAATGTTCTATCACGCACCATTTTCGAAAAATAGCGTTTTTTGTAAAAATGCATGATCTTCAGAAAAATTGAGATATTACATGAAAATTAAAAACGCAAGAAAGTTCATTTCTTAATTAATATAAAGAGGAAACTTTCCTAAAATATATCTATGTAAACCTCTTTTTATATTCATGCTTTTTAACAGTTTTAAATAATTGTGACGTAAGTATTTTATACGTACTATAATATATTTATATGAAAATCCCTTTATCCCGCAGGAATTTTCTACACAGTATTGGATTTTATTACTGATAAAGAAACTAAGACCTCATTTTTTCCCAAAAATCATGCATTTTTACAAAAACCGCTACTATACGAAATCGGTACGTGATAGAGCATTTCCGCTTCCGGATTCATTTTCGACATGAGAAACTCTATTAGAATCACGCAGCGAATATTGCAAAAAGTGAAAAAACTTTTCTTATGTTAGACTATGTGACCAGTACCCAATATATTATTCTCTATTCTAAATTTTATTCCTTCCGACTTTAAGCAACAACTCTTAAAAATCTTAATCATTTTTCAAGCTACTGGCGCACCCTATACTTAAATGCATCACACTTTTATTGCTTCGTACCCGACATGCAAATTGCAATGCTTATAAATACATGTAAATAGTACTTGATTAATCGCATAATAAAAAATACTTCCTTTCTCGCATTTCATCGTATTGGAAAAAGCCGTTATAGGAGAAAAGCTGTGTGCATCGTTAGTAGATGAAGACTGAATTAAAGATACAACAAATTTTATGCGCACCAGATAGTAATTTCCAGAATGCAATAATGAATATAACGAGTATGCCATTTTCATTATTTGAGAAAGGGTTAACAGGTTTACAGTTATACAGCAAACGGTGTTTTAAAACAAGATGTCTACTTCAGACGATTAAGCATTGCTCTCATGTTATTCGATCGTCCGTTATAAGAATTTTCTACATTTCATATTATAATGGACATTTTACGTAAACGTTGATTGCGTTACATTGTTGCAATAACCATGAAAATCATGTAAATTGTAATTCATATCGATAAAACTAGATATTCTATTGAAATGAGACACGAAATTATTTTTTACGCACAATGGTAAAACGTTGCAGTACTTGCAGTTGCCATCTTATAATGCAATCTTCGTGTCTACATCACACGATTATGTTATGCAGTATATATTAAAAAGCACGTTTTCTTAAATATTGGTATTTCACGGTCAGAAAAACTATGATTTTCCATAGTTGATATGATTTTATGAATAAGAAATCGTTTGAGAGAAACATTTTTCTCAAAATCGTATCGTCGATACATGCTTCCTTGTTTTACGAAATTTTTGCTTTGCTCGATCCTTTTACCCTTATTGATTTAATGTTTCGACAAGAATATAATCTGTATATACCGAAGAAACGGAAGAAATCATTCCTAACAATACGCAATTTGCATTAAATATTATGTTTTATCGTTGAACAATGAGGTTATGACTTTCGTGAATCACATTCGAAAGAAAGCCGTTTAATCGGATATAATTCGATTAATTACTTGTACGTTTAATATATTTAACGTATATTTCATATCAGAGATATATGATTCTCCTAAAATTGCATTAATTTTACATCATAGACGATTGAATTATAAAATATCAAGGCTGGCTTTATCGTTCACACGCTAGGACTCCGAAGATTCCGGGAGAGCCTATTTTAAATTCGTAATTCCCGAGCTAATAGTCGATTTATCGTCAAAATTATTCCATAACTCGCTAGGCCAGTTCTACTAGTATCATGTACAATGTCAATATCAGGGTAGACTTGCCAAAATTTAACAATTTTTCTTATTTTTCCACAAGCTACCCTGTTCCCGCCAGGAGACATTCGTTGGAAAACGGCGCTGAGCGCGAAAACTGACGACATTTAGGGGAAAATTACAAATACTGGGTAAAACTACATACAAGTAGCCATTTACTCATGGAACTTTTATTTGTCTATCAGTGTTATATTTTGAGTAATTGCGTTTACAATCAAGTGACTATTTACCGCTTCACTGTTTTTAGTGAAACTCGACGCTCAACATATTCAGTGGGTCTCTCTCCTCAGGCCGCATCAGAGCACAAAAATATGGTTGAAGGAACCTCGGAGCACGACGATAAAATTTCCAGATTGCGTAATTTTCGCCTGTTTCGAGGTTTAAGGAAAATGGAGGATAAAGGTAGTGCGAATACTGTGGAAAGTGCGGAGAGCAACAGCTCAGCAAAGAAAACTGCGAAATCGAAGGCGGCGAAGGTGACAAAACCAAGGTCTTCGCATCCACCAACTTCCGAAATGGTGAACGCTGCCATCAAGGAGCTGAAGGATCGCAAAGGATCGTCCCTTCAAGCAATTAAGAAGTACATTGCATCGACGTATAAGGTCGACGGAGAAAAATTGGCACCTTTCATCAAAAGGTACTTGAAGACTGCTGTTACTTCTGGTGCTGTCGTTCAAACGAAAGGTAAAGGTGCATCTGGATCATTCAAACTCTCCACTGGGAAGAGCACTGAGACTAAGAAAATTCATCGGGCCGTGAAAGTATCCAAACCGAAAACAGCAAAGAAATCGGTAGAGAAGAAGACTACATCGGCGCGAAAATCTGCATCGCCGAAAAAGCCGAGTACACCGAAGAAGGCTGAGGTTAAGAAACCGCCAGTGAAGAAATCTGCAGCAAAACCAGCCGAGAAGGCTGAGAAGATCGAAAAAGCTAAGCCTGTTGCTGAATCTAAAGCTATATCGAAGACTAAACGAACAGCAAAAGCACCTGCGGCAAAAACTAAAACGCCGAAACCTAAGAAAACTGCAGCTTCAAAATCTGTCAAGTCAGCAGCAAAAAAATAATTATTGAACGATAAATATCTGACTTTCATAATTAACAAAGGGCCCTTTTCAGGGCCACAAATTCACTTCGATGAGGGAACAATACTCAAATAATTAGAAAAATATTTTTTACGATCTTCTTACATCATAGTAAAGAATCTAGTCACACAAATATCCTTATCTCATTTATTCTGCAGCTAACATTATATTGAAAATAGGAGTAGTAGATGTAACCTAACCTTTAACTAGCAGCTAATAGACAGGATTTTAATGGATCCAAGTCTTTCAAATGACGTAGATTATTTAGGTGTATCTAACATTTAGGTGTAGCAAACCCTTATTTAGGTGTAACTAACAATTTTGTTCCTATACATAAGTATTTATGAACGTCAACAAATCATTTTACTATTCCACGTATAAGTAGTCTTTTGGAAGTATAAATTCGAATACAAATGAATGTTAACTTTTCTGAGAACTATAATTTCAGTAACAGATCTTCGGACTTTTTTTTGTTAAAGAACTATGTTCTATTGATACAATATAATTCATATTTAAATCTCGTAAGTAATTAAGGAAACAAGGTTATGCACTAAACCAGTTTCCATGCAAAATATTCCAGATATGATAGAGTGACATCAAATTTCTTTTGTGTATATTATTGATATGATTTTGCTGAGATTAAATTGTTCGAATGTATGGTGGCATCAAGGTTTTATATGGATATATGTATAAGAATAAGAGTTGGTTAGTTTGTTCCTTGAGTGACTCATTAATCATTCATCTTTTTATGTTCACGATATAAAGATTTTAGTATCATGTATTCAAAGTAAATACTATTGAAGTCATTCCTTACTTGTAACTGAAGATTCATGAGAAAGACTATTAAGTGTTTATTACAATCCTAATAGACATATTTGTGAATTTAAACGAAAGTTAACAATAATGTCGTATTTAGATATATTTAAAGATATTTATCTTATTATTTGTCGTTAATTCTTACGCAGTAGACATGCAACTCAATTATGAACAATCTACGTATATCTATATTTATATGTAACTTCTCGAATCTTTAAATATAATTTAAAAGTTCTAAATACATAGATAATATAGACGAGCAGTCACAATGTGAGAAAGTTAATAGTCTTATTCCTCATTCTTTACGTGAGTGAATATACTTATTATATTTTTCTTCGTTGTAATTTGAGCATACTTCTGAAATGTGAGGTTAATCCTTCGTTTGGAAAAAATGATTGGCCCTGAAAAGGGCCGTTTAATTTAAAATTTCTGAATTACGCCTTTTTTTCTGTCTTCTTTGGTAGGAGCACGGCTTGAATGTTTGGCAATACGCCACCCTGTGCTATTGTTACTCCAGAAAGTAATTTGTTCAATTCTTCATCATTTCTGATCGCTAATTGTAAATGACGCGGAATGATCCTAGTTTTTTTGTTGTCACGGGCAGCATTACCAGCCAATTCCAATACTTCAGCGGCTAAATATTCCATTACGGCTGCCAGGTAAACTGGAGCACCGGCACCAACACGTTCGGCGTAATTTCCTTTACGTAAAAGACGATGAATACGACCAACAGGAAATTGTAATCCAGCTCTGTTCGAACGGGACTTCGCCTTCCCTTTAACTTTACCGCCTTTTCCACGTCCAGACATATCGAACAGTCAAATATAGATAACCACAACAAGATATGTTTCAACTTCGAAGCCTCGCTCGATAATAATTTTTCATGTTCCCAACCTCTGAATATATACCCATTTGCGCACCTAAGCGCGGACCAATAACGGATCGCGATAGCAAAATTATGACTATGGTTCGTTCCGATTGGTGCGCTGTAAGCACTCCTTCACCGCTTATAACCGTCTGCAAAGGTGTGCGCAATCATTTCGCTCTCGCATTACACAGTACGTACAGTGCATCGAAGAAGAAATACTCTATTGACAATGCCGCCAAAAACCAGTGGAAAGGCAGTAAAAAAAGCTGGCAAGGCTCAGAAGAATATTAGTAAAGCAGACAAGAAGAAGAAACGTAAAAGGAAGGAGAGTTACGCAATCTACATCTACAAAGTATTGAAACAAGTACATCCAGACACCGGAATCTCCAGTAAGGCCATGAGCATCATGAATAGTTTCGTGAATGATGTGTTTGAACGCATTGCTGCTGAAGCTTCTCGGCTCGCACACTACAATAAACGATCCACGATTACCTCTCGGGAAATCCAGACGGCTGTGCGTTTGCTATTGCCCGGAGAATTGGCGAAGCACGCAGTCTCCGAAGGAACTAAGGCAGTTACGAAATACACAAGCTCCAAGTAAACTCATTTTTATTCATCATCAAAACGGCCCTTTTCAGGGCCCCAAATATTTAAGACGAAGAAAACTTCTATTCGCTAAATTATTTTCTATTTCTTAAGATAATTGATCTAGTCGTTGACATTTTATCTACAAAATATTGTATTTTTAATCGTTATATCTGAATTTTATACATAAAATATTGTGTAATGGATTTGAAAGTTTCTACGTGTAACTTTCAAATATGAACATAGAGAGAAATTGTACAATTGTCGGCAAGATCAGGCAAGATGCACGTACATAAGAATCGCAGTGAAATAATAGGATTGCTGTTTATTGTTCCTTATATCTCCAACAATAAAGGTCGAAAGGATCACTCTACAATACACATCGATCTTTATTTGGGTTTGTAGCTTCTTGTTATCATACTTAACCAGTGATTGAACACGAAATTCTTCAAGACGGTAGTAGAGATACCTTACCAACGGTGGGAGTGAGAGAGAGCCATGCTCTGTTCTTAACTGATCTGAATTTTAGATTCCCTGTTTAAATTATTTTAGAATATCTTATTCTCTACCCTCAGCTTCTATTTTCATTTTTCTACGGTGATATATTGGCGTTAGGTCGGATACGAACAAAACTTGCGCTTCAGGAATCTCCTCACTACTCCGATTCTAATCCATAATTTGATTCAGTGAGAGATTGCAACGTATTGAACTGAAGATAAGGTGCTCTGAAACTGATACAGTTCTGGCTTCTTTTTCCCGGCTTGTTCTTTTTTTCCTTTTTTTCCACTTTCTTTCCCCTAATGAACATCGATGCGATCGTACGCGTTCCTTGGAGCTTCCTAATCAGTGAATTCCTTTCTTAATACGTTTGGTCTAACATTACATTACTAACCGCTAGGTCGCTGGATCGAGTCCATCTTTCATGTACATTACAATGG